TGTCTCACCTCTGGTCTGTAGTTCAGAGCTCAGCTGTCTCTGTAGCGTCTGTCGGGCGTCTCTCTCTCGCTCCAGCTCCAGCTTTAACTCTTTCCTCTCCATGTGGTTTTGTTTGTCCTGACAGCGAGCACTCTGCACCGCCACCTTCAGGAGACCCTGAGAACAAACAGAAACTGAACTGGTGATTAACTGTGACTCCACCTGGAGTCTGTTATCGTCTGTACGTTATCGTCTTTACGTCATTTCTGTCTGTACATTATCGTCTCTACATTATTGTCTGTGCATTATTGTCTGTACATTACTGTCTGTGCATTGTTGTCTGTGCATTATTGTCTGTACATTACTGTCTGTGCATTACTGTCTGTACATTACTGCCTGTGCATTATTGTCTGTACATTACTGTCTGTGCATTGTTGTTTGTGCATTATTGTCTCTTCATTATTGTCCGTGCATTATTGTCTGTACATTATCGTCTGTGCATTATTGTCTGTACATTATTGTCTGTGCATTACTGTCTGTACATTATTGTCTGTACATTATTGTCTGTACATTACTGTCTGTGCATTATTGTCTGTACATTATTGTCTGTATATTATTGTCTTCGCATTACTGTCTGTGCATTAATGTCTGTACGTCCTCGTTATTTTAGCTAACTCTGTCACCTGTATGTTGGTCAGCAGTGTCTCCATGGAAGACAGACCCTCAGCCAATAGGAACGGAGGGAAGGCGGGGTGTGCGTGGTTGATTGACAGTGATTGAGAGGTGAGCGGCAGCTTCTCATATGTCGGTTTGAGGAGGGGGAGGGGCAACAGGCTGTCATCTGCATATAGAAACAAAGTAAAGACATGAAGGGGAAATAAAAAATGGAACGGTAGAATTGATTTTTTTAAATAATCTTTTTGTTGTTGTATATCTTTATATATATATATAAAATAATAAAATCCAATATGAGACTGTGGTCATCAGTCCAATCACAGAGAGATCTCTAATGTCGGCCGTCCAAACAGAAACAAGATCAGTGATAAATAAGGAATGTGAACTCCTTGTGTGTTCATCAATAAAACATCAGAACAACTCGAGTCCAAACGCCTCCGGACGAGTTACTGTGCGACCATCTGCTCTCCATCCGTCGCTCGCTCACCTTTTTCCTTCAACACCTTCTTCATGTTGTTTTCTCGCTCTGCAATCTCACCATCTGTGGAGGTTATCACAACAACCAGTATTTATATTTATTTATGTGTGTGTGTTTGTGTGTGTGTGTGTGTGTGTGTGTGTGTGTGCGCTGACCCAGCTCCGGTGTGTGTGCTGGAGGAGGTGATGATGAGGATGATGAAGATGCTCTGGAAGGTGATTGGCTGGTTGCTTCTTGGGGGTGGAGCTCATCATCACTGGGGGACGGGCAGGGGGAGGGGCTTCCTGGTGGAGACTGCTGATCACAGAGCAGAGTGTTAGCATTAGTGTATAATATAATATTGTAACATATTATATAACAGTAAGAAATCAATAACAATATTATATTATGTAATCACTGATAGCATCTTTAGTGTTAGCATTAGCACCTTTCTCTCTTCTCTCTGAACATGTGACACGGCGGCCATATTTGCCAAACCGCTCAGCTGACTCATCTGGTTCATCGCCATGGCAACGCTGGCAGGGGGCAGGCCCACAGGGAGGAGGGGGTGTGGCATGACCATAAAAGGAAGGTCTGACAGACCTGAGGAGGCAGACCATAAAATACTGAGGCGCTACGATGCTAAGCTAACAATAAAAACAGAGTGGGCCGCTGACTCACGGTTGGCCAACAGCGAGCTGTGCTGCTGCAGAGCGTTGAGGTGGAGAGACGCCGAACCAGGAGGAGGAGCAACAACCGAGGAGGGAGGAGGAGAAAGGAGGCGCTGCTCCTTCTCCCAGGATCCTTCACTGCCTCCTAGGAGACGAGGACAGAGGAGACAATGAGAGGAGACGAGGAGGTTCAGGTGAGACTGACGACGATGATGTCACAGCATACCTGTGTCATCGTTCTCGGACTCGGCTCCATTGTGAAATCGCTGCTGATCGCAGTTGCCATGGAAACCCATCATCATCCTCATCTTCTGCAGCTTCAGAGCCTCGGCCATCGCCGCCGTCAGACCTGCAGAGGAATGCAGGTGAGACAGATGACAGGAAGCAGGAAGCAGGGTCAAAGGTTCACAGCGGCCAGGAGGGTAAACTCAGGTGTTAACGGCGACGAAGGCAGCTGTTGTAACGGCTGTGCTACACTAAATGGAACGGAGCCGTTGTCCTGAAGGTGGCGCTGGAGGACAGAACAGGAAGTAATTAATGAATCTCCAGAGCTGAAGGTGATCGCTGTTTTGGTGATTGATCAATAATTAATAACCCTGGCAGCCTCAGAGTCTCCAGTGACTGCGGTTGTCTCTCCACCGCCTCTCTCTCCCTGCAGCCACTCGGCCCAATTAACAGCCTCCTCTAATTAATTCAATTAGTATTAACGAGGGACTAACGAGCGGACAGCGACCCTGCGGCTCGTTAAGACACAAAGAAAGTTCTCTGAAAGTGGAACAGGTTCTGTCTGGAGACCGGAGAAAGTCCAGGAGAGGAGGAGACGAGGAGAGGAGGAGACGAGGAGAGGAAAGGAGGATTTTGATCAAGGAGGGCGTTAGCTTTGCATCAAGATGGTTAGGAAATTGTTAGCACCATCAAAAAGGACCAAAGCTGAGTCAGTCACTGGAAGGGTTAATATATAATGGTTATTATTGATTATTTATCATATTTATATTTAAATTCAGAGTAAAGAGGTGATTATATAACATTATATTATATTACATAACATTATATTATATTGTATTACATTATATTATACTATATAACATTATATTAAATTATATTATACTATATAACATTAGACACTGGTTATATTTTAGGTGCAGATATGAACATTACAGTTGATTGGTCAGCTCTGTAAACAGAATCAATAAATCAACCCGACAGTGACTGATGCTGTTATTTAACTCTCTGCAGCAGGAAACTTCATGTATGAAATGGAAGTCCCAACTGTAACACAACAACAACTCTTTATTTGATTTGATGAATGACTTCCTGTAAAGAAAATAAAACTATTTTATTCTGATTATCTCTGATACATAAACTATATTTATTAGTGATAGACCGATATGGATTTTTTAGGGCCGATGCCGATACCGATTTTTTTTTCACCAGCCTTAGCCGATACCGATACGGAC